CCTAGATGTATGAGAGTGGCAACTTCCTAGATGTATGAGCTGTCTCTTATACACATCTAGATGTGTATAAGAGACAGGAATCACGGCTCTTAGAAATGGAATCACGGCTGGCAAATCCATAAAACCACGGCTCAAAAAATTCAGTCGCGGCTCGCCAAGTAGATATATTCCATACTAGATCTGTGCTCTGCGACTCTGCGGCTCTGCCAGTGCCACTATGAATCTTGGATTCTTGGTACTCTGAACTTTAACAGTTAACACACTGGGCCTTATCACATCAACTCAAGACTAGCCTACTAGGAATTACATTTGGGTATAAGTTACTAAAGTTAGCAACTTAGCTACGACCTAAATAGTGGCAAAGCAGAGAGTTTTTTAGACTCTCCATCAAGTTCATTTTTGAGTCCTATAAGTAGACCAATAAAGTATCCTGGATACCAGCATTACCATACATAAGAAATTGGTTTAAATCTTGAGTAAACAAGGAAATTAAAAATGAACTGATTCTAAAAAAGCTCTGGTTTGCCACTATGACGACCTACGACTATATTATCAAACTAAATTATTCAAAAAATATATACCTAGCTAAATTTTTGAACAATTTTCTATATGAAAAACAAAGCTTACATTGGAAAGTTTCTTGCTGGCAAGAGGCTTACCTTGGAAAGTTTATTGCTGGCAACGACGGCGTTCTCGTCAAGAATGGCGGCGAGCTCAGGGTTTTGTGTGGCAGGGTCAGGGGCGTCGGAGTCGCAGTAGCTGTAGATGCTGTACAGATCGTCGTTCTCACGGCGCTCCTTGAGCATCTTGCCCACGTCTCGGAATATTTCTTGAGCTGCAAATGACAATATTCTTGAGGCTGGTTTTTTAAAGGCTGGCTCACACTGAAAGTTGCATATGAGGCCATTTCAAACTTAAACAGTTCACACAGACAATTTATTTCAATTAGAGAATCTATAACCTATCAAAGTCATATGAATCAATAGCTGAACATAGTTTTCCATTCAACTAGCCAGCAAATGAAGAGTTTAACGATTTGTTGCGTGCATATTGTGATGTCAGGGAATGGGTTGATCACGCATGTAATTTTGTCACAATAAACAATATAAAGATTGGAATGGAGGCTGTTTCTTTAACAACAATCATTCTTGTTCAGCTAAACACCTAGCAGAAACTGAAAGGAAATAGTTACCTTACCGAAATCCAGCAATTATTCTCAGTGTGATCAAATTCCACAAATCTTTTAAAATTCTTTGGAAAAAGTAACCTCAACAATATAACATTAAAGACTACTAAAGCAATTTGATTACTTGCACAAAGTGTCATACACGTTTTTCAAGTTATATACAAATTAATCAGAACTTTATTAATTTACGTCTCCTGGCAAATATAAGTGAGAGCTTTTTAATTGATTATGCACTGATCTTCACAATAGGTTCTTATTTTGAATACACAGATGTTGTTAATAAGCTTTTAGCTTGAACATGCACTGATCTTCACAAAAAGTTCCTAATTTGAATACACTAATGTTCTCAGTAAGAACCCTGAACATGCACTGATCTTCACAAAAGGTTCTTAACTTGAATACAATAATGTTCTCAGTAAGATCCCTGAACATGCACTGATCTTCACAAAAGGTTCTTAACTTGAATACACTAATGTTCTCAGTAAGATCCCTGAACATGCACTGATCTTCACAAAAGGTTCTTAATTTGAATACAATAATGTTCTCAGTAAGATCCTTGAACACAAACTGATAATCTCAATAGGTTCTTACCTTGAAAACGCACTGATGTTTTCAATAGATTTTACCTTGAATATACACTGATTTTTGCAATAGGTTTTACCAAGAACAACCACTAGGTGTTTACATAGAATACAAATATATTTTCAACAGGTTTGTGCCTCAAAAATACAGATTTTCTCAATAAATTTTTACCTTGAACGCGCACAGTCTCAGGACGCAGGGGGAGAGCAGATTCATTTGTAACTTTCTTCACAAGGTTCAATACATCGAGGTAATCTGGGAACTCCCTGTGCTTGTTGATCCATGCACTGATGCGTTGATTTATCTCAGGATAGCGCGAACCTGCACATACATGGGAAATGAGTGGCAAATTCCTAGATATAGGAGAGTGGCAACTTGCTAGATGTATGAGAGTGGCAACTTGCTAGATGTATGAGAGTGGCAACTTGCTAGATGTATGAGAGTGGCAACTTGCTAGATGTATGAGAGTGGCAACTTCCTAGATGTATGAGAGTGGCAACTTGCTAGATGTATGAGAGTGGCAACTTGCTAGATGTATGAGAGTGGCAACTTGCTAGATGTACGAGAGTGGCAACTTGCTAGATGTATGAGAGTGACAACTTCCTAGATTTATGAGTGGTAACTTCCTAGATTTATGAGTGGTAACTTCCTAGATGTATGAGTGGTAACTTCCTAGATGTATGAGAGTGGCAAATTCCTAGATGTATGAGTGGTAACTTCCTAGATGTATGAGAGTGGCAACATCCTAGATGTATGAGAGCGGCAACTTTCTAGATGCATGAGAGTGGCAACTTCCTAGATGTATGAGTGGTAACTTCCTAATTTAATTTAACTTGACGAAAATGTGTCAAGCAAAAAAAGAGCTATCACTAGTTTCATTCTCACCTTGGTATCTAAATCGCTTCTCCAGAGGTCTGCCAGTGGACCGAGAGCAGCCTGCCAGTCTGCAGTAATAGTCGTCCAGTTTCATGAACTGGGCCTTCAGTCTGGGCAGGAGATACCAAAAATATCATCAGAAAAAGAGCCAGGACCCCAAAAAAATAAAATAATTGGTTATGAAAAAAGATAAGCTCCAAATCTTTGAATAAAATACAGAAAATTATCCTTACAAATTTGAAATTTTCCTCATGGAAACAAAAAAGCTTAAATGCACAACCCAAATACAGAATAGACAAACAGTTCCAATGATGCAGAATACATAAATTATGTTAAACTTTAAATGCAATCAAACACCATAAATAATTACATGTGCACCACTTGCATGTATTTCCACCAAGTTGTCTCTTACTACCATTTATTATGCAATGGCATTAAAAATAGAAGCTCAAGAACCATCTACTGATAATTACATAAGAGGAATCATTGCCCAAGTTTAAAACAAGAACATTTAATTATACAAGTAATAATAACAATAATAACGTAATACATAATTGTATAATCACCTCTCCTGCACCAGATAAGCTGAATTATCTTCATCATCCAGATCTACTTCAGCTTCATCCAACACTTTGATTTGCTCAGCAATTTTGGCCATAGTCTTCTCTATCTTACGCAACTTCTTCTCAGTCTTGGCCTCCTCTTCAGTAAGAGGTCTCGGAGGCTCACAAGAGGCTTCAGTGGTTACATTGTTGTCACGAGACGGCTACAAGCATTCAAAAACGGTGGCATTATAGAAAGTTTTTTAGCATGCATTTGAATTTAATGTAATAATAGTAAGTAAGCTCAAAACTCTTCAGGAGGTAGAACAAAATTCAGGCAACCATGTTTCAATCTATTGCATATTTATGTACAGAAGCACAAAAACACTCACAAGATGCAAAATGGTAAAACACATTATGTGATAGAAGTAAAAGCAAATAATTTATTTATAAGTTAAATATTAATTTTTCATCACAATTTCCAAAATGGGTGCTAAGTAGCATTTCCAATCTAAATCTGAGGTAAATATGTCACCCTTCAAATACCATCACTTCAGTTTCAAATAAAATTAATGTAATTGGGATTTTGGCACATAGTAGTGATGGAAATGTGCATGGGAGATGGGATTGATGGGGAATGTCATTTGTTGAAAAAGACAAAATGGGATTGAGTGGAATGTCATTAAAGCAATTGGGGGCTGGGAAATTTAAATTTTCCTTGGTGAAACAGGACTGAAATAAAATTAAGCAATATCACCAAAGATAAGTTATTACCTCTTGGTAAGGAACATCTTTATAACTCTTCAGGCAGTCCAGCAGGTCTTTGATCAGAACATAAACATTGTCAGAATTAATGCGGTTCATGGCTGTCTCAATGTTCCTCCGAAACAACCTGAAAAATATATACAAATAAATTGACATCTGCACAATGCCAAAATCATAATACATCACTCCACATTAAAAAGTTTATATAGTTAACACTCCAATATAATAATTGAATACATGACATATTAAAATTCGAATGCTTCCAGGAAATTTGTAGTTTGAACAAAATCATAATAAAATCTGAAGACCTTGAAGTGCAAGAAAACTTACTTGGAATGTGTAAAGGATGTGTGGGCCAAGTAGAAGTATCTCCAAATTTTTTCTTCAATCTTCTTGTCACTTTTATCTTTTGCACCTTTCACAGATTCCCATTTTTCAATAAACTGAAATTGATTAATTCATTTGGAAAATGGTTTTATCATAAATAGATTAACATGAAATAATAATATATTTGAATTTTATCATTACCAAAAGATAGCAACAACAATTGAAGAGAAAGGAATGAACATTGTCAGTCATCCCTCACATATATAATGTCCTCAGAAATAATACAGCTAAACTTTAGAAGTTCATCATCTATTTGCAAGGCTACTCACCTTAGAAACTGAGTCTTTAATCTGATGAGATTCATCATCAGACTTTTGTGGTGCATTTGAGACATCAGAATTATTGACAGGACTTGGAAGATCCTCAATGTGATTTTTTTTCTTGCTGGTATTACACTCAGGACCCAAATCTGAATCTCCAGAAACTGGCAGCACAGAAATATCATCAGGTTTCTTAGATCCTTCTGACTGACTTGTTTTCAATTTCTTGTGACGAGGTTCATCTTGGCAAGGTGCTTCAAGAATTCTCTTCCTTCTCTCATCAACAGTTTCTTGAACTAAGAACTGTCCTATGGATGACTGAGAGTGGCAAAGGAAGTACTGGTTAGAACAAGCAAATCCCTTGACTGATTCATTTTGCAGGGGTGCATTTATTTCTCTCTCAATTCTCTTGAAATATATAAAAAAAGTAAAGAATATTAGAATTAAAAAATTATAATGCTTCATAAAAAGAAAGAGAATAAATAATGTAAATATTCCTATGTGCAAATAGAATTTTAATTCAGAAAATTAGAACATTAATCTTTATCTTACAAGTTCTATGCTAAAACATGATTAAAAACCAGCAGTTCATAACAAATTTTATATTGATGAAGATACTCTTTTTGATCAAGAGCTCCAAGTATATTGGAAAGAAATCAAGTGGTTACAAAATTATTTCTAATTAAAAAAATAAAATGCAAATGTTACATAATGAGAGCTATAAGAGAAGCATACCTGGGTTGAATTCCGAATGATTGACTTTATTTCTTGGCGGCTGCTTGAAGGTGGCAAAATTCTATTGACTTTTAAATTTGATCCATTATTCATACTAGATTTAGATGATCCAGGAGAGGAAGAATCATTATAACTTGAAGACCATGGTAGCTGGTGACTTGTTCCAAAACTTGTTTTACTTGTGCATGCCACAACCTGGATGTCTTCTTCTGATTTTGAGCGGTTTGAGCCAAAGATGTTATCCTGTAAAAAAATTACTTTTCAAACATAAATTATTCAATACAAAACTCCAAGCAATGCAGAATTTAGAACAAAATTTTTCTTTTAGATTATACTACTATTCATAATTAAACTCATTATTAGTCAGGCTAAACATTTTCTAGATATTGGTTTTGAAATTCAACCAATTTCGCCATTCCTGCAGCCATTTTAATGAATTTTACAATTTTATGAAATCCTACAAGATGCCTATAGAGCCTTGGTAAAGGTCAGGAACAGTCCTACTTTTTTCTGAAATACTGGTATCATGGCTCTAATATCATAATTTCAGTAGGTATGAAAACTTGTGGCTCCAATGTCACGTATTTTTGTTTGATTGAAAAAAATTGTGGTTCGCACTTTGCCAACATGTCATTTCATAAAATTTTCAACTTTTTTCATAGTTGCAGTCACGTCAGAGTGGTCAGACTTCATTTGCACATGTTCACTTGCCACTAAAGTAAAGAGAAATGTTAGTGTTGCTGTTTGACTGTTTTTAGGGTAAAATTAGATTTGGGTAACACATGCATTAAAATTTCTAGCATTGGGTCATGAAAAATTCTAAGGTACATTTTGAGCCTACTTCTTTGATGGAACTTTGCAACAGAAATGCTATAAATACTAAATACTTTATGTTGCATTCAGCAGAAAAAACTGTATAGCTGTCCCAGGCTGTAGAATATGGCCTCTAAGCTTGAGAAATTGGTGTCATTTGAGGATCTTCATAAGCCATCTCAACCTTACATTGGCGTCCCGGTCGCCGCGATTTGGAAGGTGCGGCGTGTGCACCAGAGGTTTATTTTTTAATGTACACCAGCACGCCAAGAAAGAAAGTAGCCAGTATGTTTGCTAGAAAAACAAAAGTGTATCTCTGACTGATGCCCAATGATCAATACTGACCAGCGCGCTTTATGATTGATTTGGCTGATGCCTGATGACCAACAATGATGCACACACTTGACCAATTGAAGCGCTTGTTCTTCAATGATCAACACAGATGCCTGCGCTTTACCATCAATGCGGCCGATGCTAGATGATCAACACTTACACACCCACTTTACGACCCATGTAGTTGATGACTGACGATTGACATGGATGCACGCATTTTACGATCAATGTGGCCGATGCATAATGATCAATTCTGATGCTCGCGCTTTACAACTGATGTAACCAATGCCTGATGATGAACACTGACTCAAGTGCATTATGATCAATGTGGCATAAACACATTATAAGAACACAACACATTACTACACAATACTACACAGTACATAACAGAATATATTGTAAGAAAATGTAACATCACATGTTATAACACAACATAATATAAAAGAACACATTGTAACCACATAACATAATCATTTTGTAACATGATACAACATAACAATATATTGTAATAACACAACTTCAGTACTTCACACATTTTAACACAACATTACACCACACATTATAACATTACATAAAACATCATAACACTATACATTGAAAGGCATTGGAAGAAACAACATTGCCAGATCTCGCCTGTCGTCCCGCTTTCTTCTTCTCAGGGCTGAAGTTCTTCAGGAAGGATAGCATCTTGCTCACTTTATCCAGATCTTCCCTCATCGAGACACTGCCAACACCAACGGATGCCACGGAGCAGGTGGAACTAGACTCACTTTCGGCATCACTTGCCATCACTGACAGTACAAATAGCGTGGAAAGTTCGGGAACGAGCAACGCACAACCTCACTCAACGACAGACCCAAATAGCCTGTTATAAGTGTTGTGATGTGTTATGTTATACTGTGCCTTGTTATAATGTGTGATAATTTTTTTTTTTTGTGTTATGTAGTGTAATAATGATTGTTGTAGTGACATGTGTTATAATGGTTTATGTTTTGTTTTATGTGCTGTTTTCTGTTTTGATGTGTTAAAATGTATTCTGTTATAGTATGTTGCATTATTATTTGTCCTGTTACATTATGTTGTGTTATAATCTGTGGTGTTACATTGTGATGTGTTATGATGTGTTGGGTTTAGTAATGTCTTATAATGCATTGTATCATGATATGTTGTGTTACAATGTGCTTCTGTTATACGTTTTGGTATAGTTTGTTGTATTGTTCTATATTATATTACAATGTATAGTGTTATATCACAATGTTTTATGTTATTTTATAATGTAAAGTGTTATGTTACATTGTGCTGTGTTACATTATAGTATGTTATTTTATGTTGTTACAATATTTTGGGTTATGTTAGGATGTATTATAATGCACTTGGTTATGATATGTTGTGCTATAATGTGTGGTGTTGTTATGATATGTGGTGTTATAATTTTTGTTGTGATGTCTTGTGTTATAATGTAATGTCATGTTATTTAGTGCTATGAGTTGTGTTATGCCACATTGATCATAAAGAAAGTTCATCATCGTGCATCTGTCACATCAATCGTAAAGAACATGAGTTGGTCATTGGCCAAATCGATTATCAAGCGTGAGCATCAGAATTGATCACTGGGCATCGCCACATCTATCATAAAATGCATGCATTCATGTCAATTATGCCGCATCATTTGCAAGTCATGTGCGTCAGAATCAATCATTGGGCATTGGCCACATCAAATGTAAAATGCATGCATCCACGTCAATCATGTTGCATCATTCGTGAAGCAAGAGCATTGGCCACATAAATTGTAAAATGCGTGCTTCCATGTCAATCATGCCACATTTGCAAAGCGTCAGAATCGGTCATTGGGCATCGGCCACATTGATCGTAAAATGGGTGCATCCATGTCAATTATGACTCATCCTTCGCGAAGCATGAGCATCAGAATAGATCATTTGGCATCAGCCACATTGATCGTGAAATTTGTGCATACATGTCAATCAAGCTGCATCGTTCGTGAAGCGTGAGCATTAGCCACATTGATTGTAAAATGCATGCATCCGTGTTGATCATTGACTGTAAAGCGTGGGCATCTATGTCGATCATTGAGCAACAGCCACATCAATCACGCAAGTGCATGCATCATTGTTGGGCATTGGCCGAATCGATCATGAAGCATGCACCTTAGTATCGATCATTAGACATTGGTCAAATATGCACTTTTGCTTTTCTAGCAAACATACTGGGAACTTTCTTTCCTGCCGTGCTGGCTTACATCCCAAAATGGGCTTCCGGCGCACACGCCACACCTTCCAGACCGCAATGGTATGCCAATGTAAGGTCAAGATGGCTGATGAAGATCCTCAAAAGATGCCAATGCAGGGTTNATGGTATGCCAATGTAAGGTCAAGATGGCTGATGAAGATCCTCAAAAGATGCCAATGCAGGGTTGCTGATATTTTTTATCTAAAAAAATAAAAAATCAATTATTTTTTTTGCATTTCTTTATTTTTCTATTTTTTCAGCTTTTTTATCTTTGTAAAATGTTATTTTTTACATTGCAATTAGCCCACTAACAATAACAGTATAAGCATGGCTAAAAAGGGCAGTTATTACCTTCAAGAATTGCAAAGGTGGTGCTTACCACTTTGGGACTTTTGGGTAAGCAATTAAATTATTGATAAGTCAATTCATTAGCTTTGTAAAGTTTGTAGGTATGGAGCAAGGTAACAAGCTATATATTGACCATTTAACTGGCTTCAATATACAACAACACTTTGGGAATGCAGATCTTCTAAACATTGAAGAGTCGCCTAACAGATAGGAAGCTGATGGCACAGTACACAACACTATCAATAGATCTACTAGTTTCATGCCCTATAAATCTACCAGACTCTACCCTTTAAGTCTAAACACACTGACTAGTACCTGGTGGCTGAGTTACTGACTGCACTGTTCTCATTTGATTCAAACCAATTAACCAATACTAAACATAAACTGAACAACAACCAAACAAACCTCAAACAACTTGAAACAAGACTTATGTCATGAGAAAACTAACACTGTTTGACTTAATCATGTAGTACACAATTACAATGCACACAATGTGTATAAATTGAGACAAATGCACATGAAAGAAAAACAATGAGGAAAATAAAAAATCAGGCCTCTAGAGTCGCTAGATAATGTGGTTACAAATCGAAAGATATGTGTCTCGACATTGTAGCTTATGATTTGCTCAAGTTAGAAACTTTTTTAGAATACCCCCTATTTTGACGTTTTCTATTAATTTCTTGTTTTCTTCCATTTTTTCCCAAAAATTCATACAAGCAAATTATTTTTTATTTTAAAAGTTTGGTATGTGTGTGAAATTTCAGGAAGATTGGTTAATAAATGTAGAAGTTTTTCCTGGACCCAGACAATCCCCTTAAGGACATAGCAAGAAATGAATGGCTACAAAAAGATCACCGTATGCGCAACTTGAGTACTGATTGGTTTATGTCACTCAAAACACCACACTAAGCACCAGCAATGATGAAATGTCACAAACTGTTGCCATATTTATTCAACACGTTGGCCGCGATGTGCGACATAAATGTACACACTGTATTTCACAGAATTGCGATGTGTACACATGTGGTACGTTCCTATGAAAAATGCATATTTTTATAAAATCTTATTACTCTTTCAAATTTAAAATTTCAATGATACTATCCAATAGGCATGTTAGGGAATGAACAGAATCGCGATGTGTACACATGTGGTACGTTCCTATGAAAAATGCATATTTTTATAAAATCTTATTACTCTTTCAAATTTAAAATTTCAATGATACTATCCAATAGGCATGTTAGGGAATGATTTGAAGTCAACTACTGCTTAGAGAAACAGTTTTATTTTCAAATGCAAGTCATACAAAAATTCCGAAATTTGTGACCATTGCTGAAAGCAATATATATATATATATATATCTTTGCATGAAAAGAAAATAAAATATTTTCTTATTGATCTGAAACTACAAAATTGGGCATTGCCAACATCATTATATTTCATACCTGATTGTAAAACAATTATTGCACATGTATGACTTTCACAGTCACCAATGTGCAATACACATGTATGAATTTCACAGTCACCAATGTATTTTTTTACCCTCTGAGTTTCACCTTTGTTACAGCACTTCCCTCATTTGCTGAGAGCATGTAGCATTCATGGCAGCGCATCCTGGTCTTAGTTCTAGTTGGTTCAATCAAAGTGTGCTGTCCTCTTTCCCACTTGTTAATTTGACATCTACATCCTGATTTTACTCTTTCTGAGTGGCTGCGTGTAACAGAAGCTCAAGACAATATATACGATGAATGATCTATATAAGGCAAATATAACTGAACTAACAATGTAAATACGCTCAATTTTATTCAGGATTATGAAAATCTGGACACCAATCTCTTTCCATACTAATTTCCAAGTGCAATATACATTGTTCACAAAAACCTATGAGATGGTCATAACGTGTGCAATTATGCACACATAATTTTTGAGTCATAATGTGTGCAATTATGACTCAAAACTAATGTACATTACTTGCGCGCATCACTTACAGTAATAAAAGTGACAACTTTAGCCGTTTTTTGGCAATATGAGCCATAGATGCATTTCTTTGCTTGGTACACATCACCCACAGTATTAGAAGTGATTACGCTAGGTGACGTGTGCCAATATGAGCCACGACAGGCATGGCTTCAATTGGTACACATCGCCAGGAATAATGACAAATTTCAACCCTGAGCAATGTGCACCAAATACGGTCACCAATTTTACGCGACACAATGACAGAACATACCCTGCAGAGCTGCACACAACTTTTCTCCTTGCTATCTGTTGGGTAACTAAAGATATACAAGTTTGAACCTATCGCCCGCACTGCATTTGGTCCAAATCAACAATCGCGGCCAACGTGTTAAATCCTTTAGAATTCAAATCTACAAAATTGCTGAATTCAGACGCTGTGTGACTAAATTTGGCATATTGTGAGAAGAGTTCTGACAATGCATCAAAACCGTAATTTGCAATTCCGACGCCCTGTGTGAGCTGTATTGGAATACAACACAGCTCAGAACAAGCTGTGTGTGTCTAATTCTGAGCTGTATCGGGATTAGTTTTTATGTGTCTACAACCATCTCTTAACCTAATCATCTATTAATTTATTTACCACTTAAAATCAGCAAATACCAGTACGTATACTTAGAGGATTCGTGATATATTCACAGACTTATTTAAAAGTCTCAAACCATAATATTCTTTCAACACAAACAGTTTATCAGTATTTGGTAGAGCAAGGTCAACTATCAACTTTGACACATTTTTCGATGTTCTCACTGGGTGATGTGGACTTCCGCTCTGAGGATCTTAACATTTTCCTGCCAAACCTAGTTTTTTGCGGAAATCTGGCGGCTGGCACGGAATAGTATGACGTCAATATTTCAACCATCTACGCATGCGCATAGTGACAAAGAAGAGAGTTTTTAGACTTTCCCTCAAGTTCATTTTCGAGTCTTATGAATAGCCCAGTAGAATATCATGGATAATCACTGTGCACAGGCATGGAATATATCTACTTGGCAAGCCGCGACTAAATTTTTCGAGCCGTGGTTTTATGGATTTGCCAGCCACGATTCAGAGAGTGGCAACTTGCTAGATGTATGAGAGTGGCAACTTCCTAGATGTACGAGAGTGGCAACTTGCTAGATGTATGAGAGTGGCAACTTCCTAGATGTACAAGAGTGGCAACTTGCTAGATGTATGAGAGTGGCAAGTTCCTAGATGTATGAGAGTGGCAACTTGCTAGATGTACGAGAGTGGCAACTTCCTAGATGTATGAGAGTGGCAACTTGCTAGATGTACGAGAGTGGCAACTTGCTAGATGTATGAGAGTGACAACTTCCTAGATTTATGAATGGTAACTTCCTAGATTTATGAGTGGTAACTTCCTAGATGTATGAGTGGTAACTTCCTAGATGTATGAGAGTGGCAAATTCCTAGATGTATGAGCGGCAACTTTCTAGATGTATGAGAGTGGCAACTTCCTAGATGTATGAAAGCGGCAACTTCCTAGATGTACGAGAGTGGCAACTTCCTAGATGTATGAGTGGCAACTTTCTAGATGTATGAGAGTGGCAACTTCCTAGATGTATGAGAGTGGCAACTTTCTAGATGTATGAGTGGCAACTTTCTAGATGTATGAGAGTGGCAACTTGCTAGATGTATGAGAGCGGCAACTTCCTAGATGTATGAGAGCGGCAACTTTCTAGATGTATGAGAGTGGCAACTTCCTAGATGTATGAGTGGCAACTTCCTAGATGTATGAGAGCGGCAACTTTCTAGATGTATGAGAGTGGCAACTTTCTAGATGTATGAGAGGCGCAANGAGATGAGACAAGACATGAGACTGATGAGAGGGTACATGAGACAAGGCATGAGACAATATATGAGACGAGACATGAGACGAGATGTGAGATGAGACGCAAGACAAGACATGGGACGAGGAGATGAGACACGAGACGAGACATATGAGATTGGACATGATACAAGGCATGAGACAAGATGTGAGATGAGACACGAGACAAGACATGAGACAAGGCATGAGATGAGGAGACAAGCATGAGACGAGACGTGAGATTGGACATGAGACGAGGAGATGAGACACGAGATGAGACATGAGACAAGACGAGACATGCAATGAGACACAAGATGAAAGGAGACACGAGATGAGACAAGACAAGACACAAGACAAGACATGAGACGAGACACGACAAAAGGCACGAGACGAGATGAGATAAGACACGAGACGAGATGAGACGAGGGCACGAGGCACGAGACAAGATGAGACAAGGCACAAGACGAGATGAGACGAGGCACGAGACAAGATGAGACGAGGCACAAGACAAGATGAGGCATGAGACAAGATGAGACAAGGCATGAGACAAGATGAGACGAGATGAGACGAGGCATGAGACGAGGCATGAGGTGAGATGACGAGACAAGATGAGACAAGGCATGAGACGAGATAAGATGTGACATGATGATGATTATATTTAATATTATTAAATATCAATATTCACTACCGTAAACTGGGGTAACTTAGACTCCCGGGGTAACTTAGACCACTTTTTGTTTTTTTAACAAAAACTCCCAAAACTCAAAAACTATTTGACATAGAAAAATTCTGTCAATGGGCATTAAAGGCCTAATGCTGAGGCTACGTAATACAATAGAAAGATTTAAAAAGTTTGCATATCTAATAGGTTAAAAAATTAAAAATGTGACCCATGAAAAAACATTATTATTTAAAGCCTGTCAGAGAGTATAATTTGTTTTGTTGTTCTATGTTATGTTACGATGTATAGCGTTATATCATGATTAGTTATGTTATAATGTATTGTGTCATGTCATTACAATGTGTCATGCTGTTATTTATGTTATGTTGTGTTACAGTGCATTGAGTTATGTAATTTTGTTACATTATGTTGTGTTGTAATATGTTGTGCTATGATATTGTTTGTTATAATATGTTATGTTATAATGTGATCTTGTGATGTCATGTTAGGGTGTGTTATGTGTTTTATAGTGATATGTTGTGATGAGTGCAGTGATATTTTGTGTGTTGTGTTGTTAATACCATGTTGTTAGTGTTACCATGTTTGTGTTATTTGCTTGTGTCGATCATTAAGCATCGGCCACTTTGAACGCAAAGAGCACGCATCAGTGTTGATCATTGGGCATCGGCTATATAGATTGTAAAGCACGTGTGTTTGTGACGATCGCCAGGCATCAATCGTAAAGTACGTGTGCCTGTGTCGATCATGCAGCATTGGCTAGGGTTACACTTCCGTTTTTAGCAAGCATATTGGCAACTTTCTTCCCTGGCGTACTGGCGTACATCCCAAAACAAACCTCCGGCGTACACGCTGCACCTTCCTGACCATGGCCTGAATGGATACCAGCATTATCATACTTAAGAAATTGATTTAAATCTTGAGTTAGCCCTATTGAGGAAATTAAAAACGGACTGATTCCAAAAAAGCTCTGGTTTGCCACTATGCGCATGCGTGGAACTAAGACAAAGCTTAATATTATAAAGGAAAAACTCAAGAAGTATCAGAATTACCCACTATGTCAGAATACGGTGTGTTTACCCTAGTTTAAATAGGTGAAATTACAATCTGGTCAGGCGGAGTGAGTGGTCAGTGGTCACATTGGATCAAAAAACTTTATACCTAGCTACTTAATTTTACTTTTCAATATTCACCATATATTTTAGTATTTTACAACTGTTCAGTGATCAGAATGAATAAATACTGAATATATGAACCAATATCCCTAAAATTGTATTCTGATACCAGTGTCATGTTATTCATTTCAACATTCAAATACCTAGCCTAAGTAGGCTCAGGCTAAGTCTCTAACCTAAGAGAGATCGGATGTGACGGATGATGATGGCATAATTCATAGTGGCAAACCAGAGCTTTTTTGAAATCAGTTCATTTTTAATTTCCTTAACAACTCAAGATTTAAACCAATTTCTTAAGTATGATAATGCTGGTATCCATGATACTTTACTGGTCTACTTTTAGGAATCAAAAATGAACTTGAGGGAAGAGGGAGAGTCTAAAAAACTCTCTGCTTTGCCACTATGTATATACTATATAATATACTCACGATTTCATCCTCAGAGCTCCCGATGTCAACCACTTCATCCGCCATAATAAAAATAAAAGTAAACAAAACAATAAATGCTTGCAAGAGGAAAAAGACGATAAATTATTTATTTGAGCAGCTCAGTTAAAGCGACAACCATCACGTCCGCGTCACTTCGCTCCCTTTTGAAACATGAGGTCACGTTTAAAGTGAAGAGCAAAACGTCCAACAACGTTTCAAAAAAAATAAATAAATACATTTTAAAAATATACCGATGCCAAGACTTTCGATTAAATTACTATTTATTACATTAAATTCATAATCTGTTATGTTATACTTTTTTTAGGTAAAAAAAAACAAGTTTTTAGCGCATTTTCTCATTTGTGGAAAAAATGCACTATTGTGCTCTCGCCATGTCCGTCTGTCCATCCGTCTCCCTGTCCGTCCGTGACTTTACGTTTTATTCGACGAGAAAATGCGCTCTCTGTCACTCACTGCAGTAAGTACTGATTTATATTTTCTGACATGTGCTTGCTTTGAATCGCACAACCGATTACGACTCAGACGTAAATTGTAGTTGTTGAGGAGCTGAAGATGTAAAAAAGCCATGACTCTGACAAAAGTGCGTAAACATAAATGTGCGTGAACAAATTAGCAGTTCACAAGTCACCGCATCTTATTACCACGTTTTTCTTGACTTCGTTTCGTGTCTGTCAGTCATCAAAAATTCAAACCTTAATATAGAGTACTTCTAAACATCTTAGTAAGTTGAAATTTGGCATGCATGCTTGTGCTGCCTAACAATTCAAGATTTGATCGACAGGAATAATAACTTGAAAAAATGAAAAAAAAAATAAAAAAAAAACGCTAAAAATTCACGGTTTGGAATTGAGTTTTTTCTCGAACATCCACTCTCATGGTTGAACTATATAAGGTTGACCCACTGAAAGTTCCGCCTTTCAGTTAAGCTTTCTCGTTACGTCACGTAGATCCAGAAACGTAAACAAACCCGTCATTCCCATGACGGATTGGTTGACTGGTTTGAACGCATTTCGGTGATTGGTTAAAGCCCGTGACGTCACTGAGATCGGTGACGTCACAGGCGGACAACAAACTCGAACATCCACACTCATTGTTGTTTAACATATTCACTGAATACTTTAATTTGCTGTCCACTTTCAGAGCTCGCATTCTACTCCTAACGTATTGAAGACCTGCCACTGAATCAGGGGCGCTGTTCGCAGAGTTTTCCTCCGAACAACTTTCGGAGGAAAACTCCGAAAGCGTCCGAAAGCTTTCGTTGAACTACTGTATATAAGGTTGACCCACTGAGAGTTCCGCCTTTCAGTTAAGCTTTCTCGTTACGTCACGTAGATCGAGAAACGTAAACAAACCCGTCATTTCCATGACGGATTGGTTGACTGGTTTGAACGCATTTCGGTGATTGGTTAAAGCCCGTGACGTCACTGAGATCGGTGACGTCACAGGCGGACAACAAGCTCCATCCGCGAAAATGAGCTTCTCATGGGTCAACCTTATACTAGTTCAACCATGATCCACACTTGCCAACCCTGGAAATTGATTTGAATTGCTAAAATTGCTAACTAAAAGTAGAAAATAAATATATATAAAAAATATTCATAAAAACCACATTTTTCTGGTTTTTACAAAACTAAAAATAGTGAAATAAAACAAATAAAAAAAACTTTTAAAAACCACGTTTTCTTAACAGACAAAAAAGAAAAACATTTGCACCAGCAAATGTTAAATGTTATGTAAGAGTAAATGGTTTTCTTTTTTGTCCGTTAAGAAAACGTGGTTTCAAAAGTTTTTTTTACCGTCGACTAGGCTTATACACAAGGCAATTAATAGTTCTATTATTTGCTCATTTGTCATTTGTAGCTGCCAGCAGGCCTCCCTGCTGGGGGTTTCCACCCAGATCTGGGAGTTTTTGCCGTCACATGGGTATCTGGGTTTATTATTAGATTAAATGGCAAAATATATGTTTTTTCGTTGAAAAAGTTCATTATAGCTAATAATATAATTAAAATATTCTCAATGCCTTAAATTTGATTATGCAGTCAATACAAAACGAATGGAGCAACGCACTAACCGCCAGACTATATATTTTCCTAGCTGACCTATTTTCCGTTGCTAGTGGTTTATACAACGCTGTTAAAACAACTCTGGATGAGAAAAAATTCCTTTTTCAAACATTATAGGATTTGGAAGCAATAATTGTTCTACTATGATGGGCATCAAGAATGGCTTTCAAACCTTATTCCAACCGTGAAGGTCCGACCCTGAAGCGTCCTTAAAGCGTCCGACTCTTAAAGTGTCCGACTCTTAAAGCGTCCGACCCTGAAGGTTTAGGACGCCAGGGAGCTCCAGTATCCCGAGCTGAGCTGTGATAGAGCCGAGCGGTCGGGGCGAGGAAGCGAGGCCTCCTTTGATGCAGTCGGTGGTGGTGGGGCTGCAAGGACAGCGTTGTTATGGTCGGTCGCTGCTCCGCTGGAGGCGATCTCTTTGCGAAGGGAGCGCTTAGCATTCCCATAAGCTTCGGCAGGCGTGATGCCGTTTGCTAAAAGTGGCGCAAAAAGGTGGCCGAACCTCGACTGGATGGAAACTTTCATAAGGCGGTCTACTAAGGGAGCAAAGGCAATATATGGAATGAGGTATGGGAGGGCTGGAGGGCGCTGGCAAGGAACTGGGCACAAGCCAGGTCCAGGTGAACGGACAGGGTAAGGACGCCGGTCTCATATGGTGGAGATGGGCGATCGGGGCCATTTTGAGGCAGCCGGTGGCTAGTCTCAGGGCGGAGTTTTGGATAGTTTGAAGGCTAGCTGTTGCAGTGCGTGAGGTGACAGAGTACCAGATGGGGGCAGCGTAATTGAGGATTGGGCGCGTGATCGTCCGGTAGGTGGCAATGATGTCCTCCGTGGAGAAACCCCAGTTAGTGCCAGCTAAGGCTTTTAAGATGCGTGAAGAACCCGTCGCTTTAGTTGCTATGGCTCTGAAGTGGGGTAAAAAGGTGTAGTGCGTGTCCCTGGTGACGCCTAGGATTTTGGGGGTTTTTACTTAGGGGGATGATGCCATTGCAGATTGTGGCAGAAGGGTGTGACCGGGATTGGTGAGTGTCTGGGGGTGAAGAGCGTGACGGAGGGCTTGCCTGGTGTCACGGTCGGCTTGCCTGGTGTCATGGCAGCCGACCAGTCTGAGACGCCCTGAAGGAGCCCAGCGAGGTCAGCCTCCGCAGTGTCGAGCTTCGGGGATGACACGAAGATAGTGAGGTCATCTCCGTATGATGCAAAATTTAGAACCGGTCCAGTGATATCAGAGATGAAGTGATTGAATAGGGCCGGCGAGATGACCGAACCTTGGGGAACTCCTGAGTGGATTGTTCTTAAAAGGTGTTCTTTCCCACGAACACCCTGAGTGTTCGTGGGCAGGGTGGCCCAGTGGTTAAAGTTCAGAGTACCAGGATTGGAGCAGAGAGGCGCGAGTTCGATCCCAGCTCTGTGCGCCAGTTTCTGGTCAGAATCGGCAAGGAGGCCGGGCGGTTAAGCAGAATAGAATTGGAGCAGTGAGTTGCGAGTTCGAGACCGCAAAATGCTGTGAATGTTCTGTGATGTCAAGAATCGGCGAAAGGTCTACGGCCTAATTAACGCTGAAACCGCTATTACTACTATTACTATTTCCGGTGCCGAATCAGTTAGAATAGAAGTGAATAGAATAGAAGTGTCGGCGTTGAAGAAATAGGCCCATGGCCTGTTGCCTGTTGCCGATACCAGTTATTTAGCAAGAAATTTCTCGTACACGATAAAATCTTAGAATAAAAAAATAATATCCCAAGCTTCTGTGATCTTTAACCTGTATGTTTAGTGATGGCGACAGAAATGCAGAGTGGATTTCTTAAAGTTAAAATAAGAGCTGGCGGATCGGGGGGCCGGGGAGTCAGCAGAGGGAGGAAGATTGATCAGAATGGGTAAGTGGTCGGAGTTCAGAGCGACTTGAAGAGTCCAAGAGGTGTTGAGATCTGGTAAGGGGTAGATCTGGTAAGGTAAGGAGGATCCGCCCTCCAAGAGGTAGATCTGGTAAGGAGGGCGGACCATGGGAGGGGAGGCGGGTCGGCGAGTCTTCGTTGAGGCAGGCGAGGGGAGAGCCAGAGATGAGGTCATCAATTGTGGTCCCTCTCGCTGCAGCTCTCTGGTCTGAGACTCTCTTACTGGGCGGGATGCGGCTGATAGCTTAGTTGCATTGTGCTTGCAAATAAAAAAATATATTCCTATTAGAAGAAGATGGAATTGTTGCAAATTTACAAATATTAGATCCCGCTGCCTCAAGTGATATCACCAAATCTCCCATTTCCATAGTGAACTTAGCACAGAATTTTCCCCATCTTGTTCCTGAGGATGTTATTGACAAACTCAATAATGAATGGTGGGTGTTTCGGAAGTTCAGCGATGTATCTTCGACACTTCAGTCTCTGGTTTCTGGCATTCACTGCGTAACATTGATTAAATACGGGATGAATCAATCAAAGTTTGGAACTCTGACTAGTTTTATGACAAATCTACCTATATTGCCTCACTCATCCGCTTGTGTCGAAAGGATTTTCGCTCGTTAATCATGTTAAAACGAAACAAACAGGCTCGCTTAAAACTGAGACAGTTACAGACAGATTATTAGAATGGCAGTTTCTTGTTAGGAAGCAACAGAATTGCTACTCACGGAAGCCGAAACAAGAGTTGGTCAAAGACGTTGTAGATGGAACCTGCTATCTACGATATGAACAGCGTCTTAACATAACATAACATAATCCATAACATAACATAGCAGGGTGGCCCAGTGGTTACAGTTCAGAGTACCAAGATTGGCGCAGAGAGGCGCGGGTTCGAGCCCAGCTCTGTGCGCCAGTTTCTGGTCAGAATCGGCAAGGAGGCCGGGCGGTTAAAGCACAGCAGCATTGTAGCAGTGAGTTGCGAGTTCGAGACCGCAACAAGCTGTGAATGTTCTGCGATGTTAAGAATCGGCGACAAGCCTACGGCCTAATAACGCTGAAACCGCTATTATTGGGCAGGGTGGCCCAGTGGTTAAAGTTCAGAGTACCAAGATTGACGCACTAGAGAGGCGCGGGTTCGATCCCAGCTCTGTGCGACAGTTTCTGGTCAGAATCGGCAAGGAGGCCGGGCGGTTAAGCACTGCAGAATTGTAGCAGTACGTTGCGAGTTCGAGACCTCAAAATGCCGTGAATGTTCTGCGGTGTTAAGAACCGGCGACTGGCCTACGGCCTAATAAACGCTGAAACCGCTATTATTTATTATAACATGGTGATGTCCGCGCTGAAGAGTATGCCTGATGTGGCCTGTCGCCGATCTTGATTTGGCCGCAATTTCTAAATTTATTCCTGAAGTTCTGCAAGCAATCATAAATGGATTGCAACACTACCTAAAGTTAACTTAATTAATTGTTAATTACATTGATGGAGGTATTTTAGGAAATTCTCATTCCATTCAAACAAAAAAAAAAAGAACTTGAATTTACCATCAGCCGAAGATTTATAATTCAATCAGAATTAATTAAAATTATAATGTTTTGAATAAAATTTGTTGTTTTTTTTAGTAGCTATCTAAGTTTTTCTCAAATTATTGGCTGCCAGCCTGGGAGGCCTGTGGCTGCCAGCCAGGTGGCTGCCAGCCTGCCACTGCCAGCGGCCTGCCTTCCCAGCCCTGCCAGCTGTAGCCAGCGCCCAGCGCCAGCACTCAGCCTGCAGCCAGTGTGTTGTTTGAAGTCGTAGGTTGAGGTGTACGTCATAGAGAATGTGACCGGTGAGAAAATGGAATCTGGCAACGATAGTGAGTTCGAAGAAGCTTTTGATGAAGCAGTTGGTGAAATTGTTATGATTCTAAGTGAGGAGTTGAGAGAAATTGCCAACCAAGATAGAGTGTGGGTGAAAGACTGGGCAGGACGAAGAGATAACGCCCGAGCATCAACCACTTCCTTTCTTGAACAGTCGACGGAAGATATTCCGGCATATGAGAAACACTTGAGAATATCTACCGAACAATTTAATGAGCTTTTGAACATAATTGAGCCACAAATAACGAAGAAAGATACTATTATGAGAAATGCAATAACTCCCAAAGAGAAACTAGAGGTCACGTTGCGGTATTTGGCTACTGGTGATAGTTTTCAGTTCCTAGCTTTATTGTTTTGCGTTTCAGCCGCCGCAATTTCTAAATTTATTCCTGAAGTTCTGCTAGCAATCATAAATGGATTGCAACACTACCTAAAGGTAACTTTTAATATTGAATCATTAATTACATTGATGGAAGTATTTTAAGAACTTTACATTCCATTTCTTTTTGTTGTATTTTCAAGATCGGAATTGAACAAGTCATAGCCTAATGAAAATGAGTGAATTGCAATTGAACATAAAATCTTAGAATAAAATAAAATTGTCAGTTCCGCAAATGAAATATTTAACTGCTGAATCATGTTCACAGATTAATGTTTTATTTAGTAGTAATTTATTTGGCAAAAATTTAATATAATCTAGAATAATCTAGATATACCGTAAAATACCTGTGCTCTGAGTCTGATGCATGATATTCAAAAGGCCATAACTCGCATAAGGTAAAAAAAAAAATTAATAAAAAGATCCAGTAGCATTTTTTCTTGCACGATGAGTTGCATCTTATACCGGTACCTGGAACAGTGTTTGATACAACCAAAAACGAATCTTAGATTGGTTACTATTCTCAGAAAACCTTTTGAATAGTTAGGTATGACATAACGATTAAATGCTAGCATGCTCGTATTATTTCATTTGGTGTTATTCGTGAGTGTATTGTTTATTGATAATCAATCGTGAAATCGTATGAATCCAAACTAGAAGGCCGAACTTTAACTTATTCACTTGCGAGGTCAGAAAACTTCACAAAAGTCATCTATTGTAGAAATTGTAGTGATTGCTGCATGAAGCAGCAAGCTCTACAGTAGTGGTTCCCAAAGTGGGCGATATCGCCCCCCTAGGGGTGGTGGAAAGATTTTGGGGGGCCGTAAGCCGTAAGCAAGAAGAGGGCGGTAGAGGAGCGGTAGGGGGGGGGGGGGGGCAGTTTGAAGTGGGAACGTTTGTTAGACGATTTATATACAACACGTGCAGCAGATGACTTCCAGCAATAGAGTTTCACCCATATATGTTTTTTTACCTCTCTTGGGCTTACGTATCGGACAAATTAACGGCCGGTCTCGTATTCATGAGGACCTAACGGTAATGTTTAGCTCGTGAAAGTTTTTGGAATTATGCCTTCATTTGTTAGTTATCTGGCAATACGGGCCGAAATTCACAGTGACCAAGGAATTTCTTTCAAACTACTGAACAGCTTCGACAGAAATTTCGAATTTACAGTCCTAACCACCGAACGGTAATGTTTCGCTCGTGAAAATATTTTTCGATTTTGCCGTCGTTCGCGAGTTTTTTCATTTCACCTTCATTCGTGATTTAAACAGCAATACGTGCTTAAATGCGCAGTAATCGAAAAATTTCTTCCAAACTGCTGAACAGATTTGAACGAAGCTTAGTATTTGAATACCTAACATCCCAACGGCGATGTTTAGCTCGTCACAATTTTTTCAATTTTGCCTTCGTTTGAGAGTTAGACGGCTATACGTAAACGGCTCTTGGTTAAACCGGCCGGTAGAAAAGCCGGTTGTTTCTCCTATACGGTATCTGTATAACTCGATAAAGAAAGCAAAATATAAAAATTGTCACGAGCTAAACATCACCGTTGGTAGGTTAGGTATTTATATACAAAGTTTCGTTGAAATCTGTTCAGCAGTTTAGAAGAAATTTCTTGATCGGCACGAATTTAAGCGACATATTACCCGGCAATACGGGCCGAATATAAGGAAGTGTGAAATCAAGAATGACGGTGAAATGAAAAAAATTTACCTTTAAAAATTACTTTTTAAAGACAACAATTCCAAAGAACCCAGTGTCTCCAATCATACAGATGTACAATGAATTTGTCAATTAATTTTCGAATATTAAAAAAATATTTTTTAATTTTTTTAATATATAAAATTTTTAAAATAATTTATTCTGTTAATTTATTCATGCATTGCCTCTGACTTCACACGAGTGTGCAAAATTATTCTGATGAATACATGTTCCAAGTTTCATTGAGCTGCGTTCATTAGTTAGGGAGATATTACTTGATCGCTGAATTTGGAGATTGGCCGTGAGACCAACCACGAGTCCGGCCGTAAATTTGCCTAAGTCGTCCTAGGTTTCTAGTGCTGAAACAGTTAAAACAGCTGAAAAACATATTGGTTCACTGAATGGGGTTCTACTTGTGAAATACACATTTCTGTTTAACCTTTAGCTTTTAAAATTTCAGTGTACTAAATTTCAAGAAAGATGCGTATGTTTTTATGTGTCTGTGGGGGGCGCTAGACATTCACTAGGGAGCAAGAGCCAGCCTGAAAAAGTATGGGATCCACTGCTTTACAGTACCTATCAGGATATTTCTTGCGTATTGTAGAGCTCTAGCCAGAAGGTTTTGAATTTTCTCCGGTAATTTGTCTATTGCATTTCAAATTACGGCCAAATTCGTCGCAAATTTCTTCCCACGTACCTACATTCATAGTTAATTTTCGTCCCTCTTATGAACTGCAATGCCATCATGCTTGGGAATTCTATCATCTTCAGTGCTGAATTTCTAGAACAATCTACGTAAATCTAGAACAATTTACTGTTTACGTTATTTTGTCTGCTGTGGATTATCAAAATTACTAAATCATGCGTATTTCTCTTGTTACAGGTTCCCAAAACTGTAGATGAGTGGAGACAAGTACAAAAAAGCTTCGAAATGACATGGAATTTCCCGAATTGCTGCGGTGCACTGGACGGTAGGCACATCGCCCTCAGACGCCCGCCCGATGGTCGCGCAGAACTTTTCAAATACAGAGGGCGCTACAGTGTTGTACTGCTGGCTTTGGTTGACGCAGACAGTAAGTTCCTCTATGTAGAAGTGGACACAAACGGGCGTGCTGATGACATGTGCGTGTTCCGATCGTCTTCTCTGAAAACTGCTATTAAAAACAACAGCCTCAACTTGCCTCCTGACCACGTCATTATAGCAGATAACACGTTTCCCTTGACAACGAGTATAATGAAGCCATTCTCAAAACGAGACTTCTCCGCAGTGGAGCGAATTTTCAACTACCGCTTATCAAGAGCTCGAAGAGTTGTGGATAACGCGTTCGGCATATTGGCAGCTAGATTTGAAGTATTTCGAAAGGAAATCGAACTTGATGTATCAACAACTGATTTGATAGTGCGAGCTGCATGCACTATTCACAACTGGCTGTGTACAGTATCGCCAGAAACGTATCTTGGGAAGGGATGGGCCGACTTTGAAGACGCGGAAACAGGAGAGATACATCCGGGCCTTTGGCGCGAAACTGCAGTCGAGCTGCCGCCGCTGCGGACTAGCCGCGCAGTTTGTCCCTACACCAAGGAAGCTGCTAAAAAAAGGAATAGTATAGCGACTTACTTCAGCGAGGAAGGACAAGTTCCTTTCCAAATGAGGGCAATTGAAATGTAAACATCGTGGAAAATAATGCGTCACAACAATTTTTGGTGTTTGCTATGTTATGTCTGACTGTTAAGGTACATCCTTTCAGCAGCAGCAAGAATAGTATTTAGTTTTGATTATAAATACGTTCAGCGTGTAATACCGTTTGTTATAGAATTCTATTAGCGTAAATAAGTAACTCCAGTCATATTAAATTTAAGCCATGTATAGGTACCAGCGTAAAACCCTGACGAGTAAGATTTTCTAAAATTTTGCGATAAACGTAATGGACATGTAATCTGCGTAACCAGATTGTCGTGCGAAAATATCGCGCTCTCGTAAGCCTAACTCCCAGGATATCGACATTTTTAATCGGTTAGGAATTGGCAGTGATTGATTGTATGAAGCAGGCAATTTCTGATCGAAGCATTTAGGTAGTGCGCACAATAAACGAAATGATTCATTGCAGTCCTTCAGCTTGGAAGTTGTCTTCCTATTATTGCATGTCAAATGTTTGAGTTAATTTTATTTGGGATTTATGTGAACTTCCTCTATTTCAATGTATGAGAATATGCATTCAAAAATTCATCTTATGGAAGTTGTACCTGACTATACTAAAAAAAAAACAGTAATGAAGTCACGAGACACAAGTCTTTCATTTTCCTAATATTTATATTTTTCCGTGCTGAAATACGCAGTTTATAATATTCAATGTCGCTTTAAATATATGAAAACTTATGTCAACAAAACAAATTTTAGAAGCAAATTCTATAAACAAGTTGTATGCCTAGTCTATGTTTCGTACTTTGAATCTGCTAGATAACCATGTTTGGTACGGACTGTTGGTTCACAAGTGTACCGTAAATGGGACTTTTATTTGGAACCAATGCACTTTTGGCGTGCTACAATATTTATCAAATACTTTACTCGGCTCCAACCGCATTCCGGTAGCGTACCGTTACTCCCTGGTCAAAGGAAGAGACGGTAATAAATATCCATTTGGTTTTTCTTGAGTACTGGCTGAGAAAGACGTCTCAGACAAATGTACGGCCGGACTTGCGGCCGGTATCACGGCATATCTCCAAATTCAGTGACGAAATAATATCTCCCAAAGTAATGAAGGTAGCTCCATGAAACTTAATACACGTATTCATTAGGACCTAACGGTGGAGTGAGTTTATAGCATTGAAGCGTCAGGGAAGGGTCTTTTCCTTCGTTAAATTAATAATAGAGTAGGCAATTGGTTTTGGGCACTGAACTGAAACCGGCATTTGTANCAGTTACCACTTACAGGTTTTTTTCATCTTTCAGTTTGCTTACAGTTATTTTTACAGTTATTTTTATGTTTCACCTTCCCTACATGGATGTCTACTTTAATCTACCAATCTCAAAAATAATCCACATTTATATACAAAAAAGGCTGATTTTTATATGTATATGTGGATAATTTTTTAGATTGGTAGATTAAAGTTCACATCCATGTAGGGAAGGTAAAACATAAAAATAACTGTAACTTCTATTTACTGTATCTAACCCTGAGGTAACCCATACTAGTTCGGTTAAGTTAATTGCAATAAAGTTGCATTGATAGGTTTTAAAAATGTTGTATTATCATTAAATGTTAATGAGTAAATCCCAATAGCAGAACAATAAATATTAAGAGATTTCTAATAATTTTGCCATTGTAGCGGCTAATGTAGCGCGCTACATTTTACTGTAGCGGTAGCGCCCGTTACAATCTAGTGGATGTAGCGGTAGCGGTAGCGCCCGCTACATTTAGAGCATGTAGCGGTAGCGGTAGCGCCCGCTACATTTAGAGCATGTAGCGGTAGCGGTAGCGCCCGCTACATTTAGAGCATGTAGCGGTAGCGGTAGCGGCGCTACATTTCAAAGTAGCGCTGCCCAGCTCTGCCTGATTGTCATCCTGGAACATAAGCAGCTGTAGTCAATTGACCCATCTCACCACACGAGCTTAAAACCAACACTGCTTCAGCTCACAAGCTGCTACTCCACATAGTTAACGGTCAATACGTTGTTCTCCAACGATTTTTAAGCCATACCATTACTTATTACACGAAAACGGACAAAATCCTGGTCGGACGTAACGAAAATCGAACTTTTAGAATTTAGAATGAATTCGATCAAGTCTTGACATAAGACCAGTACGATTTAGACCTCTGCTGATTGTGTCGTTTTCTACATCGATCACACCTTCCTACAGGTCGTTTTAATTTCATCACGAGTATTCATACTGGTTCTTCTGTACCTTTCTGCTAATCCACCTTGCAACTGTACTTAATAATAGATCAAGCTCCTTGGATATTATTCGATACCCCTTCCCTTTTGACGCAAATCTGTTGCCAACTCTCGAGTTTTAGCAATTTTAATTTAAATTTTGAATATGAAGCTGAGTAATATCTTCACCGGAAAATGAAATCTTCTAAAATCTAAACAATGGCAAACTGCTCTGCTGAAACGCCGGTCACAAGTTTAACGCCCAAATTATTTAACTACCCTAAACCTTGCACGGCGCTTCCTGAAAGGTTAACAGAATTATTCAGTAATAGATACTGAATGATTAATAAAATTCATTCATACCAAATCTTTTGACAGGCCTTTCCACGGACAAATATATTTGTTATAGCAAATTTAGGTGGCCCAGTGGTTAAAAGATTCAGAGTACCGGGATTTGAGCAGAGAGACGACGCGGGTTCGATCCCAGCTCTGTGCGCCAGTTCTGGTCAGAATCGGCAAGGAGGCCGGGCGGCCAAAGCAAAAATGTAAGCAGTGAGTTGCGCGTTCGAGACCGCAAAATGCTGTGAATGTTCTGCGATGTTACGAATCAGCGACAGGCCTACGACTTAATAAACGCTGAAACCGCTATTCTATTCTAATATTGCCCCTGATGTTTAATTTGCTTTAACAGGTATTTCAATGGTTTGAGAATTGAACCTTAACCTCTGAGCTTGTCGCTTTATCGAATATTCGGTGTTGGACTCTACCAACTTTGGAATGTTTGTATACCATAGACATTTTCGAAAATTTATTTGCACCGCGCATGCGACGGTGATCCATGCAAGGCTACTTCAACGTTCGTGAATGTTGATGGAACGTTTGAGGTCTTGGCGTAGTTGAGTTTACTTACCACACTTTCAGGCTCTCTGTACGAAGTGAATTCTCTCCCAAAAAGTAAGTTATTAGTTTGAATAACCACATCAACCATTTTGCAACTACATTAAAAAAGTTTTTAGTGTGGTTGCAAAGCTGTGCTCATATTGTAATGGACGCATGTGCAGCCAAAGTGTAATTTTTGCTTCGGACACACGCAGGCGAAATTTCACAGAAGCCTTCTTCTGATTTCTGAGCCGGCATTGTTAGCCGAGGCCTGGCGCAGTGAGGTTAGTTGTTGAGGTGATAATTTTAGACACTGGATTCGGTGTAAACATACCAAACAATTTTGAAAGAAAATCGTGTATAAGTACTATCTTGCGACCAATTTCCTGTCGCGGATTTCACCTATCGTGGTCGAGGTCTGAAAAGTTTTACTAGTCGATCCCCAGCGATAGGCGAGACATTGTATTTCCCAACCTTGCCCGTTCTCTAATGATTAGGTGCTTAGATGTAACTTCGGGTTTTAAAATACCTACATGTGACAGTGTTCCGATCGTATCTATGCCAACGTGCTAAGTTGGATGCGCCGTATTTTGCCACGACCTGCTACAATTAAAAAAAAATGTGTACTAGGATCTTGTAAACTGGTCAAACTGCACATGGAATGCACATACACTGCGTAGTAAGTGTCTTTGTGTAGTTGTAAACGTATGCAGCCTGACGAGGGTTCGTTAAAGCGACAGAGATGTTTGCTAAATTAGGTGGGCCCGGATACATAGCCTATTCATGATACAAAATCTCATTTGCCTAGGCTGTCGATTGCGCCACATTAGAAGTGAAAGATCTCAATACCCACCATCGTCCTTTACTCCAAGTCAATCTTCATATTGCTTCGCCTCTGCTTCCCACTGCTCCCTTCCCTCTGGATACGTCTCTTCGCTCTCTTACTCATACGTAAAATATTATACTACAGATTACAGCCAAAACATAAATGACGCTATATTGCTGTGGGCAGAATTTTTATACCCATTTGATTAGAACAGCTCTCGAGACAGTGAGACCACTTAAAGTTTAACTTAGAAGCTTTCAGTTCGGTCATAAATATCAGTTCAGGTGAAAACTTCGTGTTGTTTTAACTTTCTTCAGCTGATAACTACCAAATCAATTGTTCTGCAGCATTAATCTGCGGTGCATCGACCAATTGTACCGAGACACGGGTAGCATCATTGTCAAGAACTAACAGCTTTAGCTTCCTTGCGGCTATACTCTAGGTATATATTGAAGCATCTTCGTCTAAAACAGTGGTTCCCAAAGTGGGCGATATCGCCCCCCTAGGGGCGGTGGAAAGATTTTGGGGGGCGGTATGGAAGAAGAGGGCGTTTGGGGGGCGATCGGGGGGCGGTTGCTTTGCTCTATATCAGTGGTTCCCAAAGTGGGCGATATCGCCTCCCTAGGGGCGGTTGAAAGATTTGAGGGGCGGTACGGAAGAGGACCAGCTTTTATTCTACGTAAATATTGTTCACGTAAATGTTGTTGCAATCAATCCGTAACCCAAGTTTATGGAAGAAGCGACCTCGTTTTACGAGAAGTGATTTAGTATAATCTCGTGATTTCAGTAGCCATTCGAGAACTGTAAAACTGAGAATTTGGAACTCTGACGATTAGGTAGTTAAATTTTTCGTGGTGTTGTAAACGAATATATTGAAACATGAACCCATTTTTAAAATTATGATGTTTATTCCAACTACTTGTGATGAATATTGCAGTGTTAATGTACATGGTACCATCAAAGCCAGTAGTAGGCAGGGTGGCCCAGTGGTTACAGTTCAGAGTTCCAAGATTGGAGCAGAGAGGCGCGGGTTCGATCCCAGCTCTGTGCACTAGTTTCTGTGGTCAGAATCGGCGGTTAAGCAAAGCAAAAATTGAAGCTGCGAGTTCGAGACTCGCACCAAGCTGTGGATGTTCTGCGATGTTAAGAATCGGCGACAGGCCTACGGCCTAATAAACGCTGGAACCGCTATTATTATTATGGCAGGGTGGCCCAGTGGTTACAGTTCAGAGTACCAAGATTGGCGCATAGAGAGGCGCGGGTTCGATCCCAGCTCTGTGCGCCAATTTCTGGTCAGAATAGGCGAGGAGGCCGGGCGGCGGGCGGTTAAGCACAGCAGAATTGTAGCAGTGAGTTGCGAGTTCGAGACCGCAACATGCTGTGGATGTTCTGCGATGTTAAGAATCGGCGACAGGCCTACGGCCTAATAGACGCTGAAACCGCTATTATTATTATTAAAGCCAGTAGAAACATAATTAATCCTTTTAAGCCATAACTACAACTGACGACCTAAATTGTAGTCACTCGCTACCCTTAATTCCAATCATAACTTAACTAGACATTTTCCACACCAAAGAATTAGTCATTGATGACTTTGCACTTCCTAAGACGATCGGTTTAATTCGTTTCAACTGCAATTGCACAATCGTTGGCATCATCACACCGAGTAATATCTCGTTCACTTCCCGTTCAATTTAGGTCAAGATATTTACCCTAAATTTTTAGGGATAGCAGTGAATTTTTAATCCTTTCATATTCCAAATTCAATGAAATCTCAACACAGATCGAACAAATTATTTTTATGTGATAAAAAAGGTATGAATATTGGTGGTAAAAAAATTCGTTCTCATTTTCTATTCCAAGTTTTATTAGTGTTGTCCGGTTAACATGACGAAATTGTTTTTGGTTTTTACCCTAAATTCAACGACAAGCTTATAAGCTCCTATCTGAAACATAGTCAGCACTCGCCATTTTACATCAGAAGACTGTAGGTACGTAGTGTTTCGGGTACGAAATGTACCTTAAGTTTTTTGTACAACTAGTGGATCGTTAGCAAATCATTGGATCGTTTATACAACTGAGCATCGAAAAACCGAAATAAAACCTTCTGGGCCTTGACGGATTATTTTTCCTACGTGTTCTAGGTAAAGTGGGTTGTCCCACTTTATCTGGGTGACGGAAGGGTAATTTTCCTGTCGTCAGGCCTTAGCTACTAGATAAATTTTCAACCATTAAAACCCAAATCAACAAAGGTACGTAATTTGGACATTAAAAGTAGTTTTTTTTCTTGATTTTATGAATTTACATGGTGGCAAGCAAGACGTTCTTGTTGACCTTAAACTCACTCAGCTATCAGCATGGTGACAAAGCAGAGTTACCTATTTAATTTTAAAACATCCTCAAGTTCATTTTTGAGTCCTAGGCTATAACTTTTCCTATGTAGACCAGTATCATGGATGCAAGCATTACCATACCAAATCCATTTATTGTCATTCAATTTGTAATGGAATTGTTATATTGTTTTTTCATATTGTTATATGAATGATTGATTAAGCAAGGTAGGTACTGAAGGAGTGAAGGTAGTACCTAACCACATTGAATAATTTGAATTGAAGCTTGTGCATTTGAATTATGTATTACCTCCTGTCATGTTTACTTGTATTAGGTGCTTTTCCTATAAATTGTGAAACATTTTTAAATTATGTTCATGATATTCATAGGTAACTAGGCTATTCAGTAATTTTTGCATCATATTTATAAAAATTATCAATATTATTTATTCATTAAATTTTGAATTTTAGAGAAGAGACTGTTATGCAAGTTTGTTTATCAAAAATGAAAATGTAATAGCTAGTAAATTTAAATAATGCCTAAATTCTAATGAGATACCACTATGCAGAGGGTGGATGCAGCGTTGGCAATATATGGATTTTTAAGCCCAAAGCGTCGCCGGCCATTTTAAAGATGCGTCGCCGGGTAATTTTTAATGAAAAGCCATTTACGCTGAGTAATGACGAACTATTTACAAGCCACGAACTTATTACAAGGTTGCATATAGTATATTATTAATGGTACATGCCCAAGTTCTCAAAATCCTGCCCCTGATTAATCAAAATGCAGTAATTCTCACTTTCAAACGACAAATATTTTCTAAAAGACACGAGACCTTTGAAAACTCATGAAGGGAAACTAAATTGTTCAGGATGTGAAGTCAGTAAGACGATATCAACAAAATTGTGCAAAAACATGAACAATTTGTATCTGGATGCATATAAAGGTGTTCAAATTTTAAACAGTTTTCTATCATTTAAATTTCAGTGTACATAAAATCTGATTATTGTGAAAGCAAATTTGATATTACCCAAACAGGGAGTGGGACATCTTCACTCATCACTTGATCACTGCCATCACAATGTGCCACTTGCCATAAAAGAATCATAGGTTATTACATCATTTTGTGTGTACTTCAAACTTTCTTAGTATTATTGAAATTGTGAGACTTTTCTGCAATAGCTGATATAATTGTTTTTATTATTTTGGAACAAATGCTTTGCATAATTTGTTCACTTATGGATAAACAATTAGTGAAGAGCATTGAGAATGGCATCATCCAGATACAAATTTAGTTGTAAATAGCGCAATGTCAGCTCTATTTAAACCTTGGCATAGTGGTGCCAGGTGTAATGGGGTTGGCCCTTCAATCTATTTTGTTATATAAATATGAGAATATATTACCTATTCAGAATTTCATGCTGTCAGAATTCTGCTTCCATCATTAATATTTCATCAGTGTTCAAATTGGATCAACACCAAAATCTGAAAAACATTAAATTCAGTTGATTGAAATTTAGTGCCAAATGAAGTATTTGACATTAAGAATTAAAAGCTTACTGAAAATCACAATAAGAAAATGTCTGGTAGTTGCCATTTTTATTTCTTATCATTGTGGTATGTCTTGTATGTCTAGTTCCTGGATCAAATGTTATTAATGAGATCAAGCAGATTTTTTTAGAGCCTTACTGGTTTAATGTTAAAAGTACTGACCTATTTTTACCATTTACCATACCGTGTGCTAATCTACTAACACAAGTATCAATGAGTTCTACATTGTTCAAGCCATGATTCACTGACATCTGTTCTATTCCAGATGGTGAAGAGTTTTGAGAGTGAGCAGCCAAACCTGTCCTTTGTGCACATCAACCAAGCCATGTCAGCTGGCTCCAATGGCTACATGCGAGGCTACATTACCAACGGTATCCAGAGGACAGATGAAATGGTTGTGAATGCTGAGCTATTGCACAAGAGTTTAACTGCTCCTGCACAGCCTGATCCCATTGTGGCATCACCTTACTGGGATTTGGATGTCACTGAATCAAATATCAAGGAAGCCAAGAACTTGGCAAGCAAACCGCCAAGTAATCCCTCTGTACCTAATCAATCGCTGGGTGCACAAACTCGCAATGGCTTGGCTGTAGGGTCTGTCAATCCCATTGAAGCTGGTCGAGTGGCTGTTGATACTAGAGCTGTGGTAGCTGTGGCTGGGGACCCGGTCACTAGCGCTGCTGCTCATGTTGATATTTCTACTCCTCAAACTTCAATGGTAGCTCCTACAAGTGATTGTGCCCCTTCAACAAGTCCCATTACTATTCGCATTCTTTCTGTTGGTGGAGCTGCTTCCAATACGGGCGCGTCAGCAAATGCAACTTGGAACCGGGTTGCTGGAGCTGCTGCTCCCATTAGAGTTGTGGTTCAACCAACTGAGTCAAAAGCGCCTCAAAATACTGATGTGGGCAGCCGTGTGACTGGTTATCCTAAAAGTGATCTGCAGACGGCTACTCGTTATCGAGTAGCTGTAAGTGGTGATCTGGCCGGAGCATCAGTTGCCAGTGCAACCCAAAAAAATTCTTCTTCAATGGCCACAGCATCAAGTAGTGCCTCAGATTGTGCTCCAAAAACCAGTTCTATGCCTGGGTTAAAGCGCCCCTCCACTGACGTTGCAGCATTCGCAATGACTAAACTTGCCCGCACTATTGGACCAAAACCTGTGTCAGAGACAAACTCTGCTGCACTGCTTGAGGAAAACAATAGACTGGCCGCGGAAAATGAAGCTCTCAGGAAGAAAAATGAGGAATTTCAAGAAAAACTTAACCTCCTCAGTATCATCCTTAGAGACCCTCGCAAAAGAGAGCTGCTGGATGCTCGCCTTCGGCAGCATTGCTCTTTAAAATTTAAATGAGCAATTGCTGTTGCGTAAAGATGTCATCTATTTGAATCGACTATGACATTCTAACAAGGAATGTTAGAGAGATATACACGATTGAGAATGTAAGCAAGATTAGTTGAATGCAGTTTTATGTATGAAGTGGTGCAGTACCTACAGCCCCCTCCATACTCTGTACCCCATGTAGTTCTGTATCCATTAATTCTTCGGAAAAATGTACTTTTGAACCCCATTATAAATTGATCTAAATGAATTTTTGAATGCTGCTTTCTTAGCAACTCATAGTTTTGCAACCATTATCTTTGAAATATCACTGTCTTTCTTCCCACCTAACCTGCATTAAATCTAATTCTTGCCATCGAGTTTAATACTTGTTCTTCCCATGAACAACTAAACTGTCTTTTCTTGATGCTAGTGATGCCAGTGTCTTGTGTTCTGACTAGGTAGTGTGTCTGTGGGTTATCCCACCGACATCATCCAAGGATGAGCTACAATATCCACTTTTCACTATTCAATTTTCGAATCTCTAGACGTTAAACTTCTATTCGTGCTCTACATTGGATTGGATTTGCCTAAATTCTAGTCGAATAATACCATTATTTAAATTAGATCGACTCGTCCTCTCGCTACAATGATTACCAAAATGGCGGTGTTACAATTAAGTTAGTTTGCGATGTTGTAATTAATATGAAATGCATTCGATTTAATATCGTCAATACGAGCTAAAGTTTACTGATCAGTAGGTAACAAGCGAATTGTTTGTTTTAAAATGAACCTGCAATATTTATACATGATATTTTCTAGGCAAAAATAGAGACCGTTCTCGACGTTTGCTATTCTACACCTTCTTTAATATCTACGCGTGTAAATTCAATATCAATGTATTATATTTTTTGTTTATTTCTTGAATTATTTTCATATATAACTGTGTTTGATGGTAACACATTTGTTCATTATCCCGGATACGCATTGAAATGTTGATTGGTTTCAGTATGCGAGGGCTGTATGCAGGATTTGCATGCAATCATATTGTAAGAGTTTTGAATTGATCACTCAATAACTTGCATCGCTATGTTATTAACAATTTAAAAGCAAAGAAAAGCCACAAAAATTTGAATCTTTCTCGGAACATTTTTGGTTAATCTATTTCTTAGATCTAGAAAAATTCCAAAATATATGGCTAGATTTTTCGGAACGTACGAAAAAGCTCAATACCAAAATATTGCAAAAAATGATACGGTGAAATTTAGTTGTATTTTCTCTGCTTTTGAATTCCTATTTTACACTCGTCACATTGCTGGTTTACTCTTGAGATTCGCTGTGGTGTCTCTGTTGGTGTGTATGTGGACTATATTGGTGTAGACTATGGCGTGTACGTGGAGTATGTTACTGTAGATTTTACTTCAAACTTGATATTTTGTGACATTCAATATCACTGTGATTGCGCTGCGTTCGATGAATACATTGTAAAGAAGAGCTTATTGGTCAATTGTTTAAGCTTTTGATCGTAAGTTATGTTTCTTGGTTTGTAGTCTCTTAGTAAAGAGTTTGGTATGGCCTGAACCTGAGCGTAGGAATAGGCTTTGTCTGCAGTCTAGCAGATAGTTGGATGAAAGGCTTCATACACTTGAATGGCATCATACAGCGCCAGCACGCTTGCTTCACCGCTACGCTCGTCTCCTCTATTAATCCTACTGCTAAGTAACAGTATAGTCGAGTTTCGTCACGCCGGCAATATGTAATATTTACTTTGCTGCTTTTTTCGTCCGGGCTGTTTGCTTCAGGGAAGTATTTAACAATAGTGCATTAACGGTGTATTAATGGTCCCACTTGCCCTGTTCTTTGACGAGAGCCGAAGCGTTCAGCGGCTTCAACCGCCAGCAGTAATTTACTTGAGTTCAACAGTGTACCCGTCAGCTCGTGTAAAAGTTAGTTACTCGTCATACTGGAATATTCCAAACAAGATTGAGATTTATATTTTGTCACCTCGTGAAATTACCGCCACGAAGGTAACTTTTTGAGCTATGTACGAAATCTTTTGCATTAACAATTGAATTGTATTTCAGTGTTGAGAGCTCTCGATTAGATTATCAATCCAATAATTGCGCATCAAGCTTCAATGCCGGTCTCATTAAATGTAGAATTATTTCTTGTCCAATAATATTATTTGTATTCTACGCAATGTATCGTGTTGCATCTCGATCTAGTAATCAGTGACGGATAGCATCAGACGTACTATGTAACTCTTATCTTTCAATAACACATCTATCGCAGACGTCGCGTTTATCTTCAGCCTGACACCATTAGGCTTGACGTGCACCCATGAACAAAATTGTCCCGGAAGACTAATTGCGAGGTCTTGATTTACTTAACTATTCATTCAAGAACTAGATTTTTAGGATTGAACATAAATGCGCACGAGGAATGTTTATATATTCGAGAAGAGGCACTGATTTACTGAAACAAAATCCATTCCATGTTGAATACAATAACTTACGCTATCAGGTAATGCCACTGCCAGCATCATATCTTTTTTGTAATCGGAAGACGGAAGACGCGAACAACAGCGTTCTCAGAAGCTTAACTTTACCTTATAAAAATATAAATTTCCATTTTATCACGCCAGCAATACGTCTAATTACTAACCGGTGAATATCTGTAACATTCAGATGTTTTCAAACCGACTTGGATGATTGTTTGAATTAAAAATAAAAATATTCTCATCACACAGGCCAAAATAATAGACGTATATCGAACTAAACGGTTGCAGAAACCAAGCAAACGCGTTAAAAACTTGAAAAAGCAGGCAGGCAAATAAGAGGTAAACGACCACCTTGAAATAACCAGTATGCAAACAAATCTACGAACAGGCAAGCAGGAAGTAATTGCCCAAAACTTCGATTGATTACCGCGCCGCAAAAGCTTTTTCCATTTAGAATATAATGACTATCAATTGCGTTATAAAGTATATGTCGAAATGCGGTTGTAGGGTTTACACGAGGAATTGAATGGAAGTTGTAATAACTAAAGTAGCTGTAAAAAAATCGATTGGTTTCCTTTCTAGATCATAGACATGGCCACTGAGCTGTATAAAGCTCAAGAATCTTGACATAACAGAAACTATAAATATTGCAATTATTTCCAATAACTCGTTCATATTTGTTCTTCACTCATTGCTTCCATAGACCAAGTTTACCACTCCTATATTCGGAGTGAAGAAATTCATAAGCTTAGAAATAAGTGATGAACTATGAAATACTCGCAGCCTAGTGCTTGCATGTTGTGCCTTAGTTCTCTTCGATGGGGCGGATAGCGTTCACCAGCGAGCCTCAACCCAGACTCAGCAAGTTACACATAAACAACCCACGACAAAAAGACTAGTAAATCGAGACCGAATATATCGTCGTCTTGATCATTTTTCACGTCTGAAATTACGCAATCCATTTCCACGTCGTCCATGAATTATGACTGAATCTATCATTATCTCTGCATCTTGGGAAGTGCGTAGTCGAAACTCCCGCAGAGACGAGTCTGATGATGTTGGTGTCAGACTTGAACTGACACTGGAAGAGGTGGCTTTAGATGAACCCGTAGCTGTGGGATGTCGTGACGAGGATGTTGATGTGTTTGTAGATTTGCTTCGAGAATTTGAGGCCCAAGAGATCGAAACGGAAGGAGATATTAAATCAAGAATTTTGGAATGATTTATGGAAAGGTAACTCGGGTTAAACGGAGAGATAGAAATATCCTGTTTTGTCTTTTTGGGTTCTTGATTTGAATTGCTACGATCAATTAATTCGGGACCTTCCAAGCTCCTGATAATATTGGACGCTTTCGCCGTGTTGCATCTGGGGATTTCATTATTAGTAGTTTTAGGAGAAGGAATCCTCAATAATTTTATATTACTCTTCGTGCTAGGACTAGAAGAAGCCAAACTTCGAGTTTGTCTCCTGTTACCGAGAGGCATTGGTTTGCTAGTGCCGCTATATAAGTTAGAGTCGCTTTTATGGGTCCGGCTTGGTGCATTCAAAGCATTTAAGACCCTGGATGAAAGTGTAGTTCTTTTTTTCGCATTGTCAAGGATAATCACACAGTCATTTTCTTCGCTGGAACTACACTCAGCCCCTGCTTGAAGTGAAGAGGATCCTTTGGCAAGCGCTACGTGTTCACCTCCCGTTGTGGAGGGAACGCGTTTTGTTGCGCGTACTGGCTCACCTACCAGCAAGGGAACTTCTGCTGCTGGTGTGGCGTGCTTATCGTCACCTTCAAGGGGACGGATTGTTGATGGTGCAAGCATGGGACGTTTACCACGCTGCCTCAAAGGAGTAAGTGAAGGCGGCGATGCGTCTGACTCAGGCATGGGACGTTTACCACGCGGCGTAAATGAAGGCGGAGATGCGTCTGACGCAAGCATGGGACGTTTACCACGCGGCGTAAGTGAAGGCGGCGATGCGTCTGACGCAGGCATGGGACGTTTACCACGCGGCGTAAGTGAAGGCGGCGATGTGTCTGACTCAGGCATGGGACGTTTACCACCAGTTCTAGATGATAATTTCGAAGTAGACTCGGGGGTCGTACGTTCTTCTCCTGCTGAGAGTGAATGCATATCCGTTGTTTTTACCCCAGTATCACCGGTGCCCTTGAGTGCAGATGTTGATGTTCCCACAATTGAAGACGACACACTTACTATAACATTCGTAGTCGATGGCACCGATTTTCGCGATAGGTCTTCGTCGTCTTCTAGATTTACAATTTCGTTAATAACTTTTGGACGATAGCCCCTTAATTCAGACATTTTCTGCGTCTTAATTTTGATAAATTTTGAACGTTTCAGACTAGAAGTATGAGAATTTTCAAGTCTCGAGTACACGTTACGAGTCTTCAAAGAAGTCTTTGTGTTGCTCAAAGGCTGCCAAAGACGATCTGGCAAAGAAGTTCGAGGCAGCGAGACAATTTCCCCAATTGAACGTAAACTATGGCGCTTGGCGTTACATTCTGCATTGCTCCGTTGTGTGTTTAGAGGTCTCAAGTTCCTTAATTTTGGAGGAGTAGGATCATTAGCAGCGCTCGGGGCTGCAGCAACATTTAGGACCTCACTGGCAGCATTTAGGGCTGCAGTGGCAGAGCTTGGGGCCGCAGTGGCAGCGCTTGGGGCTGCGCTGGGAGTGCTTAGGGCTGCAGTGGCAGCGCTTGGGGCTGCGCTGGGAGTGCTTACGGCTGCAGTGGCAGCGCTTGGGGCTGCGGTGGCAGCGCTTGGGGCTGCGGTGGCAGCCCTTGGGGCTGCGCTGGGAGTGCTTAGGGCTGCAGTGGCAGGGCTTGGGGCTACAATCTCGGGCGGACTCTCATAATAAGTGCAACTTCTAGTCTCTGGTCGGCCTCGTTTCTGTGATAGGTCTTCGCCGATTGGTAGAATTTTACCCTCGTGCTCCGAGCAGCGGCCAAGACAAAGATGGTTCTGGCTGCATTGTATTTTTTGTTTTCTGGTACTCGATTCAGTCAAAGAAAGAGTAGGTTTCCCACTGTGCTTTTGCTTCAAAAATTTCGAGTTTGTTTTCATCTCGTTGGCTTGAACCGTTCCCTTTTTCTGCTGGTTCAGATTAAGTTTATCGTCTATACTGCCACTGGTGGTTTTAATAAGATCTTCATTTTTAGATATAACTTTTATCTCATCATCATTGTCCAGAATGCGAGAGGTTTTGTTAATATTTGAGCACAGATTTGTTTTCTGGACTTGGTCAGATGAAATACTGCCATCAAGGCTTGTAGTCGCTTGTCTGGTGGATTGTCTGCAGGCCTTCAATGCAGGTCGTGACCGAGTAGCCGATGAAGGAAGAGCAATAGCTGGTCCTTGTCGTGAAATAAATTTATCAGAAGACAAATTGTTCCTTTTGCTCCTGGTGCTATTGCATTGAACAGCAGTAACGCCGTTGTTTACAGTCAACAATATATTTTCTTGGTTGGTACTCGTTAGTGAGCGTCGGATATTCAGGATTTGACTATCAAGCAGCGTCAAGGCTCGATCCCGCGACACATTACCTCGGTTCCCCAGTCGAAATCTTCGTAAATGTTGTGCAGGTGCTTTTAATTTCTGAGCAAGGTTTGGATGATGAAAAGTTGAGACAACTGAACAGCTTTTGGAAGTCAGAACTTTTTTCTGGGAGTCAGCAAACACTGAATTTCTCGGGAACAAAGCTCTGTTCATGCGCATGGACCGCAAAGCTTTAATGTTTGATATCCTGAAATTGCGAAGTTCAGATGATGCAAGTCTTCGTGTCTGGAATCTCGTCAATTGCTTGAGTGGATCCTGCAATGAGACAGGATTGTTTGAGTCCGTCGTAGACCCGTCGCCACTAGAATGCAAGCGGAAGCTGCGCAGGTCGTCGGGTTCTGGGGCGATTTCAGGCTCGGGAAACAAGGCGATATTGGCAAAAGCGGCAACACGAATATGTTTACGCCGCCTCGGGCTCCGGGAACTTTCAGTCTGAAATATTCAGTTCATTAATGACAGATCTTGTGAGGTATATCATACAATATACATTTTATGAATACTCTGACATGCGAACATGATGTATACTTTCTTTTCTATACTAATTATCTCTACCAATATCTAAACTAGGATTTCAACTCGATATTGTTTTTGTCTCTTACATAAGATCAGCAGCAAAGAACACAAAGAGAATCAACGAACTAAAAGACAAATAACAATTGAGGGAGAAGTAGAAAGTAGAGTGAGAATGTTTTTTATAATGAGAACCGAAGTGAACAAACCTGGTTATTTACACAGTCATGTGCCTGGTCCACAGGAGCGCTCAGGGCCTCGTCCGCTGCACCCGCCGCTTGCTTCCTGAACTTCCTCGCGCTGTTCATCCTGACTGAAGACAAATAGTGTTTAAAACTATTAAGAGCATTAACTATTGTGTTTAACACTATTAACTATTGGCATGTGTGGAACTTTTTCACCCTGTTAATCAAGCATCGTGGAAACATGAGCAGCAGTAACACCTGCCACACATGTCGTTATCATTGGTTTCTATGGTGAGATTGAAGCAATCGAGATAAATGCATAAATTATACCATATTAAAGAAAGTGAAATGGACACGTACAGTTATTTCTGAATAATCTCATGCGCTATCAAATTTAATAGTATAATATAGCCCAAGAATATAAACAAAACTAGAACAAAATCACTCCTCACTATAAAAATGTGGCGCAGAGCGGCCATTAGTGAAGCATTCATTGTCCTCATAATAATGACTACTGATGCACTTCATAAGGAATGTTATAAGAGAAATTACATTAATTCACTAACCTTCAAGTACTCAGCAAAGAGTGAAGATGTAATCTTACAAATAATTCTACGAGGGGAAGGTTTTGTCATACGTGGAGCTCGCCATTTCGTGTTGTTCATGACACGGCAATCAGGCATCGGCAGCGCAGCAATTCACATTATAGAATTTCCAACGAAATTCCTGCCACTTCAGCGTGTTAATGAAAAATAAAAGCGAGAACAGAAACTGGATTGAAACCAGAACCTCCTTCCTACCTAAATCTCAACATGATTATTAGTCACTTAGTTTTAGTATTTAGAAAAGATTATTTGGGCTGATATAGAAATTAAGTTATGGCTCCCTTCTCATTCTATTGACTAAATATCTAAGAGATGAATTCTGCGGAATGTAAACGTTCATTAGCCAGCAAATATGGTATTGCTTCATAGGAAAAAAAGAAAGAAGAATTAAGAGCAAAAGTTTCTACAGAAAACTTGAATAAAAAATCGCTAAGACAGACTCCATAACGCTCAACTATTAATTAATTGATAGCCAAGTCCATGACAACAGTAACACAGTAGTGACAGTACCGTGATTTAAGACGTTCAAAGCAAGATATTTGAGGTCACCCCGAAATTGCGAGCCTTTTCTTTATTGATTCGTAGTATAGATACGTTTCGGTTGTAGCAGGCTATGGCCACGCTCGAGGGCCGTCATAATATACATTTTTATTCATAATGTACATTTTATTAACCCTTTGAAAAAATCTGAACAAATGGGCCCATGGCAGAGCTAGACAGCGATGCTTGGGTGCACAGCTTGGACGCGAGTTCTGCCATTAGAGTAGGATTAGGAGGCGGTCACCATCATATGGCCGAGGATGGAGGGAAGCATTAGGATTCATGAGGAGCATATCCTTACTCTTGTAGTTCTGCCATTAGAGTAGGATTAGGAGGCGGTCATATGGCCAAGGATGGAGGGAGACATTAGGGTTCATGATGAGCATATCCTTAATCTTCTGCATCCTACATAAATAATAATCGGATAGCATTTGAATATTTAAGCAACAGATAAGCAATGCTAAAAATAATCAAACGATATTCGATGCAACATTCAATGTGGAGTTATTTAGTAGTGCATTGAATGATGAATGTTGTCAACCACTGAGAAAATCGTTTCGACTGGGCCACTAGACGGATCTGAAGTCACTAAATTACGCATGACCAATACTTATTGGAACAAACGAGGCTTTGGAAATTGATCATGTTTAAATGTCACTAATAATGAAGTAACGAACGTAACTATCACTAGCGTCCTAAACTATCAAGACTGGGAGCTGGGGGAGCGTCGTGAGGTCCCCAGGAAGGAGTCAGCCAAGGTGCCAGTGAAAGAGTTGCTATTAATGCTACTTCATTGTTTGAATCGTAAAATAACTAATAATTTGTCAATTTTTATTTTAATTTAGGCAAACTATTTTGACAATGAATCCGCCGAAATAATTCAGCATATGTTCATAGAGAACGCCCAGCGCCATCATCAGGAGTTATTATGATACACTAACAAGTTACAAGACATTACTGCCTTATAATAATAAACAATAAAGAAATACTGATCTGCTAGAGCCTATTAAAGCCTTCACAGCGGTAAATCGAGTAACAGGGATCATTTAATGTGAAGGCAGAGTTAGGGTTAATAGAATTTTTGTGTTTATCACTATTACTCTTTAATGAGACGCAGCTCTGAATTGAAGGAAAAATGATATGCACATTTACGGGTACCTTGGCTGTACCCCCACCCCCCTGCAGCGGAGCATCAACAATGAGAACCACGCATGGAACAGAGAACCAATCTAAGCAAATCACGAGGCACAAAACCAACAGTCCAGGTCACACGGCAGGTGTCATGTCCACCATTAAAGCTCAATTCTTTGTTCCACTTTAACCCAAATATCACGACATAGCGGGACATTCAAAACGCAAAAGTCACGAGCAGTAGTTATATTGCACAACTATTCAGATCTCGGACGTTGCTATCTCGGAGCGATGCGGGTTCTGAACTGATACTCCCACTTCATGGCGTAGCGCTGCGTCACCTCTCTGTGCCTGCAAGATATAGGAAAATTCAAGTGTGTGCGTACGGTCCTTATTATAAAATTCAAGAGTTGTTAACAGTCCTTAAAAGAGTCCTAACAGTCCTTAAGAGTCCTAACAGTCTTTAACAGTCCTAACAGTCCTTAACAGTTATTTAACAGTCCTTTAATGTACAATTTGACACCATTCTGCATGATAATCCCTTGAATTTAATCAATAACAAGTAAAGCAAAACATCGCCCGTCTATGCATAAACATTCCTACTTGTCCTATGTCTATGCATAAACATTCACATAAACATTCCTACTTGAGTTCAAAGAACGCACAACAGGTAAAGATAGAACAATGAGGATATATTATACATGCAAATTTTCAATCAATATCGCTGAAATTATTCACGATTGCAGGAATGGAAATAAATAAAATCAAGAAATAAAATATGATACTGCAATCAAAAAAATTATTTTGAACAAAGAAAAATAGTTCCCTCTATCTTTTGAAACAAGTGTGTGATGGAGGTCTTATCTTCTACATAAAATGTGTGTTTCAAGAATTCTTTATATAATTTCAATGATAAATTATATAATTTTTTCACTGAATTAGGTATCAAGGGATAAGGGGATTTGGGATACTAGGGAGCAAAATTATATGAATTATAAATAAATATAACAACAACTAAACAATAATATAAATAACAGCAACTAAACAATCATATAAATATAAATAACAGCAACTAAACAATAATATAAATAACAGCAACTAAACAATAATATAAATAAGAGCAAATAAACAATAATATAAATAACAGCAACTGAGAGGCATCGGGAGAGTGAGACTCACTGTTCGATGAAGTGATCGTTATAAATAAATATTACAGCAACTAAACAATAATATAAATAACAGCAAATAAACAATAATATAAATCACAGCAACTAAACAATAATATGAATAAGAGCAAATAAACAATAATATAAATAATAGCAACTAAAAAATAATATAAATAACAGCAACTAAGAGGCATCGGGAGAGTGAGACTCACTGTTCGATGAAGTGATCGTCTCTGTCGAGCAGGAAGACCCAGCGGCCCGAGCTCTTGTTGTTGCCCTGCGCGAGCTGAGGTCTTGCAATGGCCCCCAGCATGGCCAGCATGTCTGTCCCTGGCACGGGCGTCATCTGCTGCAGCTTGTCCAGCTCCAGCCAGCCTTGTGAGCTCAGCAGGTACAACTGAACACACATAAATTCATGTAGTTCGCCATCATTACGTGACAACTATAACTAATTATATAAAATGTAGACTTATGGTGACATTAAAAAATTCAGACAGATGGGCTGAAAATTAGACTATAAGTGTAGTTGTGTATCAATTACATAAAATCTAAAGCAAATTTACAAAAAATTAGACAAATAATTATGAAACGAATATTGAATAAATTGATATTTGTTTTAAACATGATGACTAACATTTCCATCTACACATAATTAGTTCTTCATAGTTTGATACGGTATAAAATTCTACAAATTTGTGGACTATCAAGTTAAACCACAGGCTCAAAATGACATATATGCTCTAGCAATTCCTTTATTTTTGAGATTAAAAAACGCATTCCAGCCATGCGGTAATTGCTGTGAAACAACTACTTCCGGTTAGATAATCATTGCTGGAAGTAAATTACTTTATATTATGAAAAAATTGAACACAGAACATAATCGGGAATTTAATAAAAGATTTGGAAGGCTGTAGAAAATGTCTTGAGTATATACAAGAGATCATCTTTGGCAATTGCAGCAGCACGTACCGCTTGTACCCTGGTATCATCATTACCGTGGCCTGAGTATTCAGTAACTACCCAGTACCAGAGCTGGTGCCCCTAGAAGCACCAGAACATGTTTGGAGCCTACCGCATCTCACCAAGTTTGATGCAGGATTTAAACGTCAACGCCAGTTTGGAGTACGGATTTGGCATCAAAAAGGGACATATCAGCCCTCTTAATGCATCTAATCTGCCTTCTAAGGCGCCGGACTGGCTAAAACTATGCTTCAAACTTTAACTCGTTAAGCAGCAATGAGCAGCGTATTTTGAAAATGAATAAGTTCTAGTACATTACATATTCTTTGTTAACATTTAAGTAGTAATTATCTTCGTAAGAAGAACGAAACGCACGGCATACTCCCTGGCGTCGACCATAGCCTTGTGTGGGGTGCCCGCTGGCGTGTTGTGGCGGCCACTGGTGCGTCCTGCGCTCCTGCGGGTGGTGATGTAGGAGTGGGTGGTACCGTGGGGGGCGGAGGGGGTGGTGGTCGTGGTGAGGGCGGCCGTGGGGTAGAGTAGGTCAGACTTGAGGACCCAGCAGCCCTGCACCAGCGTGGCGCTCACTTGGATCTGACATGCAATAACATAGATGAGTGCATTTAATTTCGACATCATTTTCAACTTTTTTACTGCCAAACATTAAATATAATTTATTGCACATCGCATTCACTTGTATCTGCACAAATAACCATTATTGAACTGTTTTATTGGCATTCATGTCAAAAATTTCTATTGCTTTACAATACATATAGTTTAACACGTTGACTCCGAAGTGGTACATATGCGTACCACGAAATGTATTTCTCCAGGACGTACCGTAGTGGTACATAATTCAGGTTGCCTAAAATGGGCCAAATCCGAGAACAAAAAAGGCCAAAAAAGGCCGATAACTCAATATATACTAGTTTATTTGTAGGTTCCGCTATAAAAATTCCATTTATTTTATTTTTTCAGTATTTAAAATTTAATTAGGAAGTACCCCTATCATAAATTTTAGCTGGCCAACGCAATTGAGAAAAACTAAATTACGGAATTTGTCCGGAAAAAATGACCGTCTGGTAACCCTTCTTAAAAACAGAACAAAAAATGAAATAATAGTACAAGATGAAGCAACGTGTTAACTGACCAGTGACTGTTTTTCAAACGGCTATTAGTGAGGTAGTAATAAATCTAGAAGTGTTTATGCTTACAATACGTACATAAATTATATGGCGATAAATAAGAGTAATGAAGCATAGATATACCAAATTAACGCAGAAATCATTAATACAAGGAAATATTTATCAGTCAATCATTTATATTGCACTCATCATCACACACCAGTCACCATCACACACCACAGTCATCATCACACACCACAGTCACCATCACACACCACAGTCATCATCACACACCACAGTCATCATCACACACCACAGTCATCATCACACACCACAGTCATCATCACACACCACAGTCATCATCACACACCACAGTCACC